AGACAGACAGACAGACAGACAGACAGACAGACAGCTAGGATGCTTCTTATGATCAAGGGCAAAGAGGAATTGATTCCAATATGATACAGTATTTTATATGGGGGGGGGAGGCAGAGGGGAACAGATGCTGTCTATTGCCAGAAAGCCAGGAGAGAAAGGAGCTGAGGAACTTGCAACAGACCCTTGGGAGAGACAGAAGGAGCAGGGAATTGAAGGCATCCCTTCCCAGCCCAAGATCCCAGCAGGTGCTCAGCACTGGAGCAGCCCCTTTGGCAAGGTGAGAACATGTGGCCGAACCAGGACCCGGCCCAACCTGTGCATTTCTAAGGCTCCAGTTCCTCAACCTGACGGTCAGTGGGGGGGAAACCAGTCAGCTGAGGGCCAAAGAGGATAATAAGAATAATTTTTAAAAAACTGCTGAGCTTGAAGGGAACCCTGGGATCATCCAGTCCAGCCCCCCTCTCCAGGATCCCACCCACCCAAATGGGGAATCAAACTCCCATGCTTAAGCCACTGAGCTACCCAGCAGTTCCTACTCTATGGGTGCTCAGCCCACATTTGGCACCGTCAGGCTCAGCCCCGCATGCAAACTACGGGGTGATGACTTGACTGGCCTACCTTAACAGAGCTCTTAGCTTCACCTTCCGAGCAGAATACACCCGAGGCTTGAAATGTACTACCTAAACCGGAGGGGTCGGCACAGGACCTTCCTTTCCCAGCCAGAGAAAGCTGCGCCCCCGCGCTCTCCATGCCGGCGGAGAACAACGCGGAGAACGAACGGGATGGATTTCCAGGAGGGCAGCCAGCAGACTCTCCCCCCCCCGGGGGGTGTGGGGGGTGGAGGGGGTGGCAAAGAGCGAGATCCTCTCTCTCTCGGATACGGGGACGTACCCTGCGCCCCTCTCTCTGACAAGGGCTCCCTTTAACGATCCAGCCCCCGGGGATGAAACCCAGGCGGTCCTCACCGGCTCTCTTTGAATGGGGAGCCGGCGAGAGCGCAGGGCGCCCACCCCCGCGGGCACCTGAACAAGGGGGCAGAAGGGTGGGGGTTCTCTGCAGGCTTGCTTCCCCCCCCCTTGGCTCCCCCATTTCGCCTCCTGGGGGAGGACCCGGGGCAGAGCTGGGGGGGTGCGTGGGTGTGCAAACCAGGCAGCAGCCAAGCCACCGGGGGCGCCTTACCTGGTCCCTGCCCGGAGACCTCGGAGCTGGCCAGGGGTCTCTCCGGGGCGCCACATCGGGGAGGGGGGTGTCCTCTTCTCCCGGAGCCGATCGCCGAGTCCGGAGGAGGCGGCCCCGCGGGATCGCGCCGGGTCCTTGCCTTCCTGGCTTCCCCAGAGGAAAGCGCTCCTCCCGGGCCGGCTTGCTTCGCTCGCTTCGCTCCTTGCCTCGCTCGGCTCTGCGCGCAACTTCGCGCGGAATGGGGAAAGCAAGGCTGCGCTATTGGGGGGGGGGGGGCGGGCGGGG